ACTTTTTAGCCTCTATTCCAGCGGCACTTTTCATCTTCTCCTGCACCTTGCGCGAGGTTTCTTGCAAATTTTTTTGCATCTTTTCTGACTCCTTCAATTTCCGAATCTAAAGATGCAAATCATTGCCGCAGGCTTTATGATAAGTTTAGGTTATAGTCATAAATTAGCCTAAGTTCTTTTGGCGTCAGTGACATAGTATGTATATCCGAAATGCTTTCATAAAAACGAAACTATGGGAGGCTGAAATAACAGAAAAGATTATCAAGGTAGGATATCGTGGAGAACCGTGTGAAAAAAAATCGGATGAATATTTAGGAGATGGCATGATGAAAGGGATGAATCAGAAAGCCAAGAAATGGTGGTGCAACATCATAAAGAACGAAACGGATCGTCGTGACGTGACCGAAGATTTAAAAAAAGAAGAAGCGATGTTCAGGATATTAAATTCTACAGTAAACCATTGTCGAATAGGACATATTAGGAGAAGGTGATAAATAGATAATGGCACGCCTCACCAGACCTGTTGCAGCTAAAATCAGCAGTAAACGGTTGAAAGAACTGCATTAGTGAAAGTGCGAAATTGTCTTCATCAGTCGGTTTCGATGAAGTAACAAACTGATGATATTATATATACTGTATTGCTTCCATAAACGTGATTATGCGATGTTATTGTATGAAAGGCAAACAAAACAAAGCTTGAATTTCCAGACACGTCCAACATTTGCTCAGATTATGGTGTTGTTTTAGACAAACGACGACTCTGCCTCTAATTAAAGTGACTCGTGTTTCAGCCGAGGGTCGCATTCTTCGCTTGAGTCTCAAAAGACCGAGAATTAATCAGCATTGCAATTTCATGCTGCCATCAAGCGAACAGCTCTTTAGACTACGGGAAACGCTGAATTACATTCCCCTCAAGCCGTGAACCTTTGATGACTCACGACGAGCGAAAAATGCGAGTTTCTTCCTTGTGGAAACTTGAACCACAAGTTGAATTAGAGTCTTATTTGCAGAGGTGACCGAATCGGTCAAGAAACTCCATTGCTCTTTGAAAGAGCTTTTTTGACTTTTTTACATTTAGGTTTACTTTATTTGAACATACCTTGGCTTGGCTACTTCTCTTCAGTATGGTTATGTTTAGAGTCAGTTGAGAGCACGGTCGAGGCAAGTGGTCATTTCTAAGGAATTTTTTGACTCTGGTCAGAACTTCGTTATATTAAGCAAATCAGCCTCAAAGGTACAAAGCTATGCTATGATACTTGTCAGGGTTACCGTTACAGAAAGGAAAAATCAGTCAAGGTATTCTTGTGCAATTCGTGAGGGTTCTTTAGCCGATGCCGAACGGAGTATATAATATCTTATGATACAGATATCTTATAGACTATGAATTATAGATATGCCAATAAACCGCCAATCAAACTGCGAAATTAAAGCAACAGAAATTAAGCAAGTGGAAAGACTGCTATCAGGCAATAAGGTGTAGTCTAAGTGGTTTGATTTTATGCAAAACAAAGATTATTATATTATATATAAGGTTGCTTCTGATAAGCCTGCCTATAATTGGTGACATCTAAAGTGCCTCTTACGAAGGCATCCCTGTTGTGGTCTTTCCGATGACACCACCCATCACTCTGAACATTCGCACGTCTACTAAGTTCAGCTGCTGGTCATGTCTTTAAACGGTGACCAAACATCCCGCTTCATCAAGCAATAAACATCATACTCTCACTCTATGCACTTTTCCTTCCAGTTTGATGGGAATCACCTTGTTGCAAAGTGCGCCGCTCACCTCTCCTTAAGTGAGTATGCATTTTGAGCAATTCCTTAATTGGCTATCGATTTCATCATTGCCATGAAGTCGAAACCAATACACTCGTATTCATGGGTTTGAGGGAGTCATCGGGCTTACCTCTGCCCTCACCACTGAAAAATTCTGCCATGTATTCCAACTTTGCGTTTGCTGAACCGAAAACGGATTTTCTCATTTACTCTCTTCCATGTCGTGGTTTTGTTTCTACAGCTTCTCGGCTTTCACGGCTCAGCAATGGGTCATCAGCACTGGGCACGGGGGCTGCTTCCTTCCTACAGATCTTTAGTTATGGTGCCTGCCGCCTTCGAGAACAGAAATGGGCTCAATGCTGAACCTTGATGGAGCCAGAGTTTCACACGACGCTGCATGTCCACTGAAAATCATATTCTTGCATGTTTTAGATCAAAACAACTTGCAAATTCTAGAAAGGGCATTCGATTCTGTGGCTATAGGCACAAAGAAGATTCTTCGGAAAGATTTACTATAAGCGCCGACGTTTCGGACAACGATCACATTGGCCATCATCGAGGCATCCAATGCGAAATGCACTTGATGCTTACAGTATGACCTGATGACGGACCGCGTGACGGCTGTACGAAACGATGGCTTAGCATAAAGTCATTTCAAACAATATTCGTTTTCACGATGACCATCGCTTGTTACGATACGACTTAGTATTACGCTCACATTTCGCATAACGCAGAAGTTATTTATCAGTGGAGGCACAATTATCGATTGATGTTAACATCATTAAAGTGCATTAATTGTTACCTGTAATAAAATCCACCGATCATAAGCGCTTTCAAGATCATTCCAAATAACTTCGACAAAGTCCAATGTTTGCTTACCAAATCTGCCTTGCACTGCGTCAGTTCCGCGTTGCATTCTTCAGACTGCTTCAGCGCCTGTTTCAAATCACTCAGTTTACTCTGCCAGCGCATTCGTTCTCGTTCATGGTCGTCCTTCGGCATCACCAGAGTCTACAAGATACGAGCTTGCGCCACAAACAAAGAAAATTTTGGAATAGAGTTACGTTACAATAAATTCGAGGCTAAATCAAGCAAACCACACATTCGAAATATCCTACAAAGCACTTTCTGACTTTGTCGTTCACCGTTGAAAACCTTTGGTTCCAAGATGTACGAAAATTATGTCGAAAATTTACTTGGCGATTGGTGAGGTATTGGGTGGGGGGGGGAGATAATACCTAAAGGTTGTCTTTTTTTGAAAACTTTCCTCGAATAAAAAACGTATACAGGGACCTTGTCTGTCACTCATTCCCGTCGAGTGTCACTCACCCGCTTCATGTCGTGGTTTCCCTCCTCATCTGATTTCTTTCCTAATTCACATTTTGACCTCTACTTCTTATTCATTGCCCTTCTTCCAACATAACTTGATATTTTCTCTTGACGTGTTTCAGATATTTATACTGATTCGATACAGTTTAACTGAAACTGGTGACACCCATACCTTCTCTAAGCGGATCCAGCAGTTGCAGGGAAAATCTTTCACTACGGCTGTCTTCAAAATGAAATGGCTGCGAAATAAGCACTGCCCCGAGAGATCTTACTATGCGAATGGAGAGGAACTTGAAATCATCAGCTGTGCATACCCTTACCGGCATGAGCTCTCCAGAAAGGAAATCAGCCGAACAAGGAAGACGGAATGAACCAGCTTTAATCGTATCAAAGCTTCATTAATCGACAGTCAGCTGCTCATGTGGGCGAAGCAAGAACTGTTCGAATCAATCGTACTGCCCACCTTGATCTACGATGCTACCACTAAAGATGAGTAGTTAGCGTGATGCAACAGCTATCTCAGAGGTGTGGTTCGAACACCGGAGGTGCGGGGTTCAATTTCGCTTGAGGTCAATCTTTGTCTTACCTAACAATTACCTTGAGCAAGGAATTTACCACATATCGCTTCAGATCGAGGTAGCTCAGTCGGTTGAGCGTCTGACTTAGAATGGATAGCTCTAGAGATCAAGTCCCGTTCAGGGTCACTCGCTTTTTCCTTCTGAGGTTCAAAAATGAGTGCCACCCCGTGGGAAGGAAACAGCAGACTACACGCTATGCTTGTTACGACGACTCTGGCTATAGGCCCTGTCTTAAAAAATTAAGGCACTCCTGGCTGATGACCTTGAAACAGAGACCAGCACCACACCATCGACTTCATGAGAAGAAAGGCACATAATTGGTCCAATCATTAAAGTTCAAGAAGAATGACCGCGACAAAGCTGAGAGAAAAAACTACGGTCATGCACAGGGCGATGGAGCGAAAAATGTGCAAGCCACCACTCA